TTAAAATTATCCATGTCAGAGTGATCATGACCTTGACAACATATATCAAGATTGGAAAGACCTCCCCTAAAGTTTACCGAAGTTATATAATATGTATTTAACCAAGACATTTTTTATTGCTAAAGAACAATAAAAGAACTTGAAAACATATTAACTCCCTAGCTATACATACTGGGGTCCCAGAAACCTTAATGCAATTTGCTAAATCGAGATTTTTTCGTGTTTCTGAACTTCTCTTTTTCTTCGAACCTATATATCTCGAAGCTTCTTAATTCTATTGACTTTTACACATTATGGACGAATTCCTTAATCAATTCTTCATCGATTGAAAAAAAAATTAATTGATATATGTCTATTTTTACGGAAATTATGGTAACAAAATATGGATAGGATCTTAGGGACCCGAGTGTGTATATCAAGGATAAAAAAAAATGTGTATAACTAGGGTTAATTATATTTACAAGCAAGACGTATATTTATAATTATTTCTATTTCATTATATACATATGCATATACAGGATATCTGTAAAGAGATCAAACTACATGTGTTAATGAGGTCGAGTAGATGAAAAACGTTTATATAAACTTATGTTCGAAAATGCTTAATTATAAAGTTATAAATATTAAAAAATTTATGAGTAAAATTCATTTACTACAATATTATTTCTTGCAAGTATAAATATGCGAAAAATTTGATAACTACCCAAATAGCATACATGCTTATAAAGCATTAAAAAAGTGCTAAAACAGCACATGTAAGCGCTTTTTTAACGCTTTGCAAGCGCTGCTACGCTACTTAGGTAGTTTGACGAATAGAAGCCTGCATTCTTTCAGGGAAGATGTATTTTGAAATGAAGTGAAAATTATAAAACTGAACAAATTCGCTAGAATTGACTAATGAAATTATATATAAGTATTCTAGTGAATATGCTCACTTCTATAATTTTCATCTCATTTTAAAATATACAATCGATTTCCTCTGAAAGATCAATATTTTTAAATATTTATTGCAACTATAATATCATTGATATCAGTTGTTAAATAGTTACAATAAATGTTCGAAAATTCTTCTGATGCAGACTTCCATGTCGAACTAATGGCTACATTCAGCAGAATATTTATTTTGCAACTGTTGAGTTTTCTTTATTGCGATAAGACTATTCATTTTCTAGGTGTAAAAGTATAATCCAATGTAAAAAACTATAATCCAATCAGCACAAAGAAAACTTTCAATAGTTGCAAATTAAACATTCTGCTGACGTGGCCAATGACTATCAAACTCTATCAAATATTTCTATTGTGCTATAAATATAGTAATAAATGTAATCTTTTTATAAATCTTTGAATGTTTATAACTTTATAATAAAGTATTTTCGGATATACGTTTACATAAAATATTTTTTCACACATTGGTCATCATTAACATACAAGTTTGATCTTGATTTTTGCACCTGAGGTTATTCTGTAAGTTTCTGTACACGCCTACCGATAGTTATCGGTGTGTTTTACGAAGCTTTTTTATCATACGAAATATCTGTGCAAAATATATAATGACATCGGTTGCGTTCCGTTTCTTGCATGATGTGTAAAATGGATCATTTATCCTTGTTTAACATCCGGTGAAAAACAAGGATAAAAGATGCATCATACGTGAAATGAACACAGTCATCGACGACTATCGGTAGGTGTGTACAGAAAGTTACAGAATTGCGTCCCTGTAGGATATACAGAATGCTAATCTAAAATAAAAATAGTAAATTCAAACAGACATAAAGTTCAATATATATATTTCTAATTTTTTAAAGATATAATACGCCATATTTAATTTTGCGATTAGATGTATCTGGGATGACTCGTCATGATTAACGTAGCATACGCAATTTCTACAATCATTCTTTTAACAAGTTTTTAATGTACTTACCTGATTGTTGAAAATAAGATTCCGCGCTTGTTCGATGCAGAATATTTAAATAAGTGTATAAACTCGACCGTGAACAAAAATTAACTCGCTACTCTCCAACTATCCGTCCTTGACTAGCGATAGCAGATAATAACAAAGCATATCTCAGTGTGAGACGTGATTATAATCATATAAGTCGGGTATTCCCCACATACCTACACACACACACACACACACTATATATATGTATATATATATATATATATATATATATATATGGTGTAAGTAAAAGGGTATGCTCTTGCTCATGATAATGTCCACCAACCAATGAGTGCATCCGTGCATTCAGTACTACGACCGCTCAGTGAGCTCTTGAATCTGTTTGGTTTATATTTTTAGTTCTAACGGAATATGCCAATCAGATGCAAGAGCTCATTGAGCGCTCAGTGAGCGGTTATAATACTGAATGCACCCAATGAGTATTGGCACCTTGCCTACGTCATGATTACATCATTAAGCGGCAAATCCAAATGATAAAAAATGAAGTAAACCATAGTAGCGTCACCTCATCAAGATAAGCGAAAGGATTTTATGAGAATGATGAGTAATAAGTATAAATTTGTGTGGTCAGTTTGTACATATATTAACTAAACTGAAATTAATATTGGAAACTAGCAATTATTAATAATAAAATTGAATAATGTTGATAAATTCAACAGAATGAGACATTCTTGTAATTATTAATTACTTAATTAATAACATTTTTAATTTGTAATGAAATCTGAATTGAAATTGTATATTGAAGAAATAATTAGTAGTTAATACATAATTTACATTTGAATGCTGTCTATTTTTGGAAAATTGATATTATTTTTAAAATTAAATCAAAATTAGTAGCATTGATATAATGTAGTATTCATGTAATTGATTATATAATTATTTTTTGTGCATAAAGTAAACGGAGTAAATATAGCCATAAATAATCAAATAAACGTAGTCATAAATAAGCAAATAAATGTAGCCATAAATAACCAATCGATGATCATTGTGTTCATAATCTTTATTATTGTATATTATGTATGTATAAAATAATATATATATATTATGTATAAAAATAATGAAATTGCAGAGTACCTGAAAAATTGTGAGGGTTTTTGAGAAGGAAAAGAAAATCGTAGTCGTGTGAAATTAAATATTGAAACTGTTTAATTATTTATAAATTTTAATATTTTTTTCTTATTGTTTCTCTTTTTATTTTCCAATGATATCTGACGGTTAATATCTCGTACTCGGATGTATGTTCGCGTCCTAAGCATAAAATTACTTCTTTAGGTATTTCGATTGGGTGTATGTTTCTTCTCAGTGTGGGTCATCGAGGTAACCCTTCTTGCCGCATCATTCAATCGCAGAACTTGTCTTGTTGGACAATAACTGAGCAGCGGGAAAAACTTTTTGTCGCTCAGACCCTCGAACGTCTAAATGATACTGTGACTTTTAAATCTTTAGTGTTTATCATTAAAAGATTTTCAATGTATTTTCTGTTAATTATACGACCATCTAAGTTAAATGATCCAGCAAGTGATTTCTGATCAGTTTCAACAAATGCGGTCCATCTGCAAAAACATAAATTGATAAATTTTCATCACATGGATGCTGAAAAAAACATTCTTTAGGTACAATCCCAATATCCAGTTCTGTCCATAAACCCATATTACCCGGTCCCATATCACTAACTATGGCAACAACTATAATCAATGGCATGCAGATGAGCAATATTTATTTATATCTAATGTATAATAAATATATAGTAATATATGTATAAAACTATATACTATAAAACTTAATTAGTTATAAACTTCAATTCTAACTTACATTATCTTAAGGTAGTCAACAGATATAGTTGATGTTGCTAACATTACATTGCCATTCTCTGATGCTGCGAATTTAGTTTCGGCAGTTGATGTTGACGGTTCTATATTTCAACATTGATTATATTCTCCAACATTGGTTTCGAAATAGATGCTGATGGATCTACGTTGGTAACACTATCTAACGATACTGCCTTATTGGATACATCTTTGGCACATGTTGATGCACAGTTAGTTATTGTTTGAATTAAAATTTTGGCTGCAATTGAGTGCTTGTGCTGTGAAAGGATGTAAAAATATTTACCGACTTCTTCAACCACATTTGTGGTTCCGCAAATAAATTCATTGTAGGGATTGCATTCAGTTTCAACTTCCGTCCTCTTAAAGGAGAATATTGTAAAGTTATCTGCTGTGCAGGTTTATCATAGCATGATGCATCAAAGTGGTCAGAACATATCCTCCCTGTAGAATAGTAGAGCAAATGTTTAAAGTGAGATACATACTACATTATACACTCCACATCTAAAACGAAGCACATAAATATAAAGTAATATTACATACAACTTAAAAAAAAATAAATTATTACAATTATGTAATTAAATTACTGATACGTTAATGAAATTAATGTCTCTTTTTCTATTTACTTCATTCCTACATACCTCACGCCACTTTGCAGCAATTCCTCATCTTTTGGAAAATTAAAAAATTTCACCCTTTTTCCTTTCATTTTTTTTATTTTTCGGTAATTATTTTTGTATTCTTTTACTGCACAAACATTCATTCTAGCTAAAATTTTAATTCAAACAATAACTGTTTTCGTGAGAGAATATATAGAATTTTCACAATATTCGCGTGTAGTCATGTATTATACGCAATACCATGCAGTACCAAACGGAACGGCTCCAAGCCATCATGGCAG